TTCTATGTAACTTGTCACAGTATGAATATACTACAATTTATTTATCCCTTGTATTCAGTCTATTGTTGTACACCAAATCACCCTAAAACTTAGTTGTTTGGAACAAGTATTATCTCCCACTTTCTGGGAGTCAGGATTCTAGTTAGAGTAGTTTAGTTGTCTTTTTGGGATCAGCATCCCTCACAAAGCTGCAGTGCCACCAAAAGGAAAAAAGAAAGAGAATCCATGAGTTTCTGTATGCCAATCACCACTTTCAAATAGTTATCAATATTTTATTATAAAGAAAACTCTGATACCATGTCATTCTTTAAAACATTTGTCCTGTGTTTCTAGTTGGTAAGGACATTATGAATAATTATGTCTAATATAATTGTCAATAGTTCTCAATATTATCATATATTTAGACTAGTTCAAATTTCCCAAAATGTTTAAAAATGCTTTTCAGATTGACAACACCAAATGCTGTTGAGGACGTAGCGCAAAAGAAACTGTCAGTCACTGCTGATGGGAATGCAAAGTGGTACAGCTATGTTGGAAAAAGTATAGAGACAGTAAGCAGTGGTTCCTAGTAGTTGGGAGTGGGAGTAAGGAATGAGTAGGAAGAGAATAGGGTATTTTTTGGTCAGTGAAAATTCTCTATATTATACTATAGTGGTAGACACATGACAGTATACTTTGTCCAAACCCACAGAATGTACAACACCAAGAGTCAATCCTCACATAAAGTAGATTTAATATTGCCTTGCTTGTTTTTAAGAAACCATGACTATTTGAAGTTATTCATCATCCTTTATTTGAATATAGCTATTTTCCTCCATCAAAAGTTAGAGACCTTTCCAAATACAGCAAATAAAAACATAAAATGCCTAATTACATTTGAATTTCAGAAAGTTTTTAGTATATCTTATGAAATATTTGGAGCATACTTACATTCAAAAGTATTCCTTGTTTGTTTGGAATTCAAGTATCCTTTATTTTATTTGGCAAGTCTACCTCCATCACTGTCAACCCAGTAATCTTCTGGATCTTGTACATAGTCGTTATTAAGCATATGTACTCAATATAGAAATATAATTAGTGCTTCAGTGGTTGTGCTTCAGGAAATTTATGTAACATCCTGGGTGAGTTGCAGGAATTGATGTATTTACATATTTCAGAAAGAATGTCCAGTGACATTTTTAGATGATTGAATAGGCCAATATGGGTTTACCTTTGCCCTCTCACCAAGTAAGCAAAGTTTATATTTGATCACCTCCTTTTTATAGACTTTTCCTTAGAACTTTCTAACATTTGATTCTCCAGGTAATCTTCCATAAACCTCCTTAACTCTCTTCCCCTTCTAGAAGGACATAGAAGGGTGTTTTGGAAAATGTCAGTCTAGTATGAGAGAACCAGCTGCCAAAAGTGGAAGAGCTTGTGAGATAAATAAATAGACAGATTGAGGGTTGCACAAAATTTATTAGGCACTTGCACAGTTCTGTGTGTTTTGGATAGCAGTAAGACAGGAGAATTCCCACACTCCAAAGGCAACAAGGAAAAGATTTATAAGTTAAACTAGACAAGGTGAGCTATAGCCAACCAAAATGTACCTGACCTTTCTCAAAAACTATTAACATCAAACATCATTGAAGAAACAGTCTGGGCATCAGTGGCCAGCATGACATTCTCAACAGACTATCTTAAAGACTGTCCTGTAGGGTTTGGGATGCCTGTCGGGGTCACCTGCAGTCATAATGGTTATGACCAAGATGGCCACAGTCATGTCAAGCTGAATCCCTGTAGGGACAATGTATTTCTGGAAATGAACCTAAGGACATGGATGCTGATGGTGGACCCACTATTCACTCTGTCTTTCTCTTTTCATTCCAGATTTCTAGTGCCTCGTTTTTCTTATATTCAAAATATCATGCACCTTTCAGACTCTTGAGATAATAAAAGTGAAATAAAAATATAAAGTGATTTTTAGGCTCTCAAAAAATGCCATGTATTTTGCATTCATATATGAAAATAGAAGATTGAAACCTGTTGAAATTATTTTAAGAAAGGGAGATGAGGATGATGGAGAATGATGGAAGGGGCAAATCCAACTAAGGTATATTGTAAGCACATACGTAAATGTCACAATGTATCACCTTGTACAACTAGTAAATACTAATAAATTTTTTTAAAGAGTCAAGTCCTAAAAAAAGAAAAGAAAAAGATGCCACTAATTGCTCTTATTTGGCTGTTCCTTTCAGAAATAGATACACAAGGTCTCAATCTCAGAACAGGGCTTAAGGGTATTCCAAGGACTAGAAGTCTTTGAAATCCAATGGCTAGCTGGGTGCTGGTGGCTCACACCTGTAATCCTAGCTAGTTGGGATTCTGAAATCAGGGGGATCTAAGTTCAAGGCCAGCCCAGGCAAATAGTTCCTGAGACCCCCATCTCCAAAATAACCAGAACAAAATGGACTGAAGGCCTAGGTAGAGTGCCTGCTTTGCAAGAACAAAGCCCTGAGTTCAAACCTCAGTCATAAACACACACACACACACACACACACACACACAGGAATAATAGTACTACTAATAATATGAAGGTAAAAATTTTAAATGAAACACAGTGGCTGTGGTACAGGCCCATAAAAAAGTCTCTAATCATCATCAAATAAGCATATCCTTATGGCCAGCAGAGTAGGTGAAAATGGTGAGAAATGTTTGGGGAAATTACCTCTCTAATTTCCCTGATGTGGTTCCTAAGGGTGAAGAAGTATGTAGAATGGATAATGTGCCCGGGTATCTGTTTCTCTAGATATGGTGGCCTGTTGCTGAGTCAAGGACAGAGTCTATGTCTGTAGGGAATTTATGTATTCTTCTGGGAGACAAATGCTAAACAGCAATTAGAAGTTTTCTTGATATAATTTTCCTGTGTGCTGTGAACAATCAAATGAGGCTATGAATGTCTAAAACAGGGGACCCTTACCTGTTAGGAAAACAACCCAGATTACATGGTATCAAAGTTGTGAACTGAAGGAGTGAGGGCAACAAAGGGCCATGAGTACACAACACTTTTTTACTGACATCTGGCTGATAGAATTATGTATGTTCCTACTCTAGAGAAGCCTCCATTTTGAATTATTTTGATTCAGTGATATAGGAGCTAGGAGAAAAAGACCCCCAAAATTTTATGGCTACATAGTATTGACATATTTTTGAAGAGATCTGTAATAAAAAATTAATGCAGATTTTTTCAGTTTTACATAATAAAAATATTTATCATTTTTATCCTTGTTTGTTGATGTGTTAAAATATTTTAAATGCATGTAATATTTTTGTGTGTTTTAAGAATCAAATTCAGAAAAGTAAAGAAAACAATTTTTTAATATTTTTTGTCCTGAAGAAATTATATTACCATTGCATATTTCAAGTCTTTCTTCTTCACTATTAAGTGCACTGTTTATGTGTGCATTCTTATACACAAAACAGGTGCCAAGAAAATTCTGAAGTGACAGAATAACCCAAAAAAGAAACAGCCACAAATCCTAGAGTCCTCATAGGCTGATCAGTTTCCTGTCCTATTCTGATTGGCTTTTAAAAGGAAATCCAATCACAAGGAGGAAGCAATTGAGATTGATATGACAGAGAATGGGTGGAAAATTTTATCTCACCTGTCACAATTTGAGGGTAGGGTCAGACCAGCTGGGAGATTTCAGTGTTGGAGGCCTGAGGAGAGCAGCTCCTTGGTAGTAAGAGGCGTTTTAATTCTTGCATTCTTTCTATATTTTAGTAAAAGTCCCTTCAATGAAGAATATGTGCTTACTATTGGGGGTGTTTATTTTTTTAAAAACACAGTAATGAGATAGTCTAGAAGGTATTATAATAATCACACCTCATTCCTTTTTAAGTGAAATTCCTCTGTCCCCTCAACCTTGAACTCTTTATAGAAAACATTAATGAAGACTCTGGGGAGTTTAAAAGCTTTTGAGATAAGTGTTAGGCAGAAAAAAAAATGATACTAAGGAACACAAAATTATAAGTACAGATGAGGATCATTCAATTAAATGAAAACAAAACTAGCCCTTTTCAGATTTTTGTTGTTGTTTTGTTCGAGTCTGAACTCAGGGCATCACATTTGCAAAGCGGGTACCCTACTACTTGAGCCATACCGCCAACTAATTTTTTACTCTGGTTATTTTGGAAATAGGGATCTCACAAACTATTTGCCTGGGCTGGTTTTCAAACCATGATCCTCTTGATCTTAGCCTCCCAAAAAGATAGGATTATAGGTGTGAGTCATTGGTGCCTGGCTTGATTTTGAGTTTTTGAGACAGGGTCTCCCTTTCTCAAAGAGGGCCTCCTGACTCTGCCTCCAGAGCACTGGTATTACATGCAAGTGCCACCATGCCCAGCCTTGGCCATTTTTCCAAGCAGATTTTGTTTTTTGTTGTTGCTATTTTTTGTGGAGTTTTTTTTGGTCTTGTTTTCTTTTGTTTGTAAACATCTATTCTGCCTTCACTGAATGGATATGAATCATGAATCATATTTCACTTCAATTGCCTGTTAGCTTTTAAAAAAAATTTCCTCTGAGGGGAGCATTGTTCCCAAAAGTACCACAATACCAGGTAGATATGTGAAGTGGAGAATATATACTATTTTCCTCCAATAGAGGATGTATTAAGATAGTAAACTGACTTGATCTTAACTAAAATGCCAAGAAGCAATTCCTGTTAGCTTCTTTAACTCCTAAACTTTAGTCCAAGCATGAAGTTCCTATACTGCCACATAATGAACACTTAACTATCTTCAAAAAAATAAAAGATTGCCACACAACAATGAGAAGCTCCCTCTTTTGTGATGACAAAACTTTCACTGCTGTATGCTCCTTCCACAGCATCCATGGCTGAACTCAGGAAAGTTCCACCTAGCCTGCTTTCAAGGACTGCTTTAAAGAGCCCTAGTCTATGAGGTAAAGATACCGCACCCCTCTCAGAGCCTTACCTTGATGGAGACTGACAGAAGGCTTTACATCTGGCCAGAGTGTTTCTTAGAGGAAGAAAATTCAGGAAAACTTGGTGATGGACAATTTGCTCAGTCTCAGCAGAGATCTAAAACCAGCACTGAATAGGAGGGTGAGCATTGGTCCTGGGGAGGTGCACTTCTGTGGGGAGTAGGCCACCCTCCCACCCCACCCATTCCACTCATTTACAATTTACACTGTTAGGTGAGTTCTGATTTTTTTTTTTTTTTTGGATGGCCTGGGGTTTGAACTCAGGACTCTCAGCTTGCAAATCCTCTGATTCTTAACACCATTCCCTGAATGTTTTTGCAGCTCTGTGAGACTCAGTGTTGTTCTCACCTCTTATATCACATCACAGTAGCAAACAAAATGTTCTCGTTGTGCCTGTTTTAGTGAGTTATTTTAGTGAGGTATTTAGTGAGTAGGACCCTGAGATTCTTCCTCAGAGAGTAGGGTCCTAACCCAGGAAGGAAATAGCAATTCAGCGACCTAACAATGGTTCTGGCAGGACTCAGCCTCTGGGCAACTCCAAGAAAGGATTCATGCTTGCCCTTCCCCTCAGAGGTGAGCATCAGCTCATCTTCAGGGAAGATGCAGCCACTGTAAGGTAGGAGTTTTCTCCTCAGGTCACAAGGCAGGTGCACTGCTGAGATGCTCTGGCCACTCTACTTACTAATAGGAAAGGGCTCCAAGAGAGATAATATGAAAAGCAATGGGCAGAACCTTGTGAGGAACATATGGCCATCAGAGTTGAAGGAGTAAAGAGAATCCATGTTTATATATTTGTCTAAGAAGACGCCCCAGATAGGTACACAGGAAACTAATAAACACGTATTTTTGTGGTAGTCAGAGATAAACACAGCCAGACATTCGTTAGTGAAAACATTTTATTTAATGACCACCGATACTAAGGAAAAGAGCTGAGCTCCATTCTGATTTGTACAAAGCTGATAAGACATTTTAAAGGGAGAATGAGGGAGTAGGGAGGGGAAATAATAGGTATTTAAGCAGGCCAGGAAAGTAAAAAATTACAAAAGCACAATGGGGTGTTGGTCCTTATGAAATCCATCTAGGTTTGTTAACTGGCCCTTATCCAAGTTAGGCTTCTAACCCATCAAATAAAGGGAGACAGCACCCTAAATTCAGATGTTCATTGGAACAGTAAATTCTGGCAGCATGAACTGAGTTTTCTCAGTTGGGCACTTAAGGGAACTACAGCCTTGAGCTGGTGGAAAGTATGCTAGTATTTAAACAGATCTTTTTAGGCCAAGATTGAGGCCTAAAACAGAGGAGGCCTCAGAAAAGCCTAACTAAATTTGGTCAAAAAGAGATTCTTTGTCATGTAGATGGGGGCACTGGGGTAGTTGGGGACTACTGGGAATGGGATTAATTTCATTCTTACATGTGTAATTATTAACCCCTAGCTATGAAAGGCCTAATGGAAACCATAAAACAGTTTCAGCTACATTATCCTAAAGGGCCACAAGATGGCGACAGCATTTCTTAACTGACCTTCAGGATGATGAAGGGGTCACTCTGCCATTTCCTCCCATGGCCAGATTTCACACCAAGGAATCTCAGAGCCTGCCTCTCTTCAAGTGATTCCCTTGGTTCAGTGGCCAGAACCTCTCTGCACCAATGCTTGATTCCTCTCAGCGTGGTCCTTTGTTGATCAAAAGAAAAATATAGTCGATAATTGCACCAGCATTTTTTTTTACATTTTTTGGTACAGTTTATGCACATGCATAGACAATACACTGTACTTCCATCCAAGTGCCCATCATCACACATGCTTCAACAATTACCAACATCTCATCCATGCTGTTTCATCATCTACGCCCAAACTGAGCAGGCAAGGGAATCTAAAGAAATCCCAAGCATTGATTGCAATCATGAATATTTTCCAAACATCCTAACAGATATGGATGTAAAGAAATAAAAAGGGTTCATACATAAGAAATTTTTAAATGACTTATAACATCACCTAATACCAAATCCTTAAAAATAGAATCTCCAGTTGCCTCAAACTTGTTTTTTTTTCTTTTGTCTGAGTGTGAATTCCATCAGATTCACACATGGCATTTGTTGCTGTTCCTCCTGAATATATTTTAATCCATAACATTTACCCAAATTTCCAAGAAGTTATGTTTGCTCTCTGGAAAAGGAATTGGAGACTATAATCTGGGTGAAAGGAATTCTCATTGATCATGGATTGCTATTGGTTTTAGAATGTTTCTTTGAAAACTGTTGGGGGGAGAGGGAGGTCCTAAAAAGCAAAAACAAAACAAAATCCAGTAAAATCATTTCAGGTTAAATCAGAAGGGTTCTTACTTAGTATCTCGGAGTTCGTAATTGAAAATTTTAATCTGAAAATCTTAGCTCCATATCCAATAAAAATATATTTTCTGCATCTATAGATAAAATGTTAGAAACACATCTTGATACTTTTATTCAGAATTAGGAAAGAGAATCAGAGTGAAAAAAGAATGGGAAGGGAGTTTCCTTCTATGTTAAAATAAGAAAAACAATGCTTTGGAAAAATGCAGTATTGAGTTTTCTGTGATTAGGTTAATGGAAAAATAAATACAGGAAATATAAAGGAGGAAATATAAGTAGATAGGCCGTAGGTATTAGGGTTTAAATTCAAGGCTTCACGTTTGCTAGGCTGACACTCTACCACTTGAGCCATTCCACTAGCCCCAATTTCCAATAATTTTTAAAACCTTATCTGTGTATTTACAAATTTGTACAGTAATTTACATTAGTATAGTTCAAGTTGCACTTGAAGTTTTTGAGATAGTATGGTTAACCAGCTTTTTTTTTTCTTTTTCCAAGACAGTGTCTCTCTATGTAGCCCAGACTATCCCAAAACTCACTATATACCCTAGGCTAGCCTTGGGCTCTTAATCCTCCTGCCTAAGCCTCCTTAGTATTGAGATTATAGTTGTATACCACGAGGCCCAGCTCAATGTGTATTTTTTTTAAGAGTATTTTTAGAAACATTCAAATTGCCTCTCTAAAGAGGAACAGACTAAGACAAAGGGAGGCAGGGAGAAAAAGTCAGAAAGAAAACTAGGACACAGAGAGTTCAAAGGCCCAACTCCTTTAAGTCAAGACTTCCCCCACCTTTCTTAATGCCAGCTAATGAATCTAATTAAAACTACTTTAACTTAATATTTGTTTTAAAATTTGGTAAATCAGTACAATTTAACAGATTCATCTCTGTGTACTGGTGGAAGTATTTCTCTTTTCTAAAAGAGAAAGTCCTAAGATGCAAAGAAAAAAAGCAAAATTTTCTTGAGTTCGTTCTTAAGTGTAATATGAGAGGTACCAGTCCATTTCTACTTCTCAGCTTTCTAACCGATGTATATTGGTAATGGGAGAAATTATACCTATTTTTAAATCGCTATTCAGCACATATATAATGCCCTATTGAACAGCACTCCAATAAGCTGCTAAATTCTTCAAGGGACCTACACTTATGAGGGATTTGGTGCTTATTAAGACTACTGAGAGGCTGGAGGTGTCACTCAGTGGTAGAGCACTTGCCTAGCAAGTGAGAGGCCCTAGGTTCAGTCCTCAGTGCTGCAAAAGAAAAAAAAAGAAACCAATGTTCACCATGGCCATCCATGCATTGCATTACCTCTTCTCTGTCATGTATAGAAATGAGTTTTTAAAATGTGAAATACAAGATAAAAACTAGTAACATCATAGATGGTCTTGATAGCATAAGAGAAAGTGAAGCACATTCAAATCTAGAATAACACAAATCCATATCTCATTAAACAAACTCAATGAACAAAAATGCATGCCTCGTCTATGACAAAATAGTTGCAATAATACAAGCATATTTGCCCTGGCACATGGGACACTTAGCTGTACTGGTATCCAAGTCATCCTTGGAGAGCTGTCTACACTGCAGATCTCACATATCTCTACCATTGCCACCCTGGTCATTTCATTTACAAATTGTTTGGACAGTAGGTGGAGTGCTATGAAAAGAGACCAAGTAACACCCACATGGTTGATATTATATGTTGATAACTGACAGCCTCCTCTGAAGAGTGGGCCTTATATAGTTAGCATTCACAGGGGATCTTATTCTTATCCTCCGGGACCATTCTAAGAAATTCATCCACATCACTCTTCCCCAAAACTTCTTGTCAACAACCTCCAAACAGACAAACTATTAGCCAAGCACATGAATTAAAGATCGTAGATCAATATCCTTCTAGAAAAACTAAACAGTGAAATATAATGCTCCAAACTCTGCCCAGAGGCAGTAACTCTCTAAGGACACTCCTGAATGGAGCAATATTATATTACTGTTTCTAACACTACTATTACTGTTAGTGTCAGTAGTATTACTCACATATGTTGAATGTTTACTATATACAGGACATTGTTCTAAGTATATTAAAAATATTAACTTGTGACACACTATTACATATCTATTTTTTTTGAGACGATATCACTAAGTAGCCCAGGCTGTCCTTGAACTCAGAAAGATTACTTCCTGTCTTTGCCTCCTAAATGCTGGGATTATAGATGGGCACTACCACACCATGCTCATCTCAGCTCATAAAATGAGGTGGGTAGGCAAAGAAAGTAATTTGTCAATGCTTCATAGCAAGTGGCAGGGCAAAATTTCTAACTTAGATAGCCTTAATCAATGACTTATAGAAAACCCCTCATTGTTAAGAAATTTTAAAATAGACCTAAGTTTCAGAAGTAGAAATAATTGGAATATAAGTCACTTGCTTGCTCTAGCAGGGTCGTTTATGTCATCTCCACAGAATCATCACATATTGATGTATATAGACTTCAATTTTACAGATCTGATAATATGCAAGTAATAGTGAGAAGCAAGTCGGGTGCCAGTGGCCCACTCCTGTAATCCTAGCTACTCAGTAGGCAGAGATCAGGAGGATTACAGTTCGAAGCCAGCCCAGGCAAACAGTTCTCAAGACCCTATCTCAAAAAAAAGTCACAAAAATGGGCTGGTGGTGTGGCTCAAGGTGTAGGTCCTGAGTTCAAACACCAGTACTGAAAAAAAAAAAAAATAGTGAGAAGCACAGGTATATTCGTCTGGTTTCTGAATGTCAAGTGAATAATGCAATTTCCACAGTAAATGAATATAGATATACTCACAACAACTAAGCAAAATAATAATGATATATGAAACAAGTTCTGCAAAAATCCGTATTTTTAAATTAAAAAATTCTACTCTTTCATATACACAATGTAAATTATGTCTTTATACAATGAAGACTAAACATGGTTGCATATCAAAATAAAGAAAATGTATATTATAATGAAACTAACACAGCAATGATGATTTAACTGAAGAATAGATATCTGCATGATTTTGTGTTTATGTTACTATTCACCTGGCTTAATGGGTACCTGATTTTAATAATCAATGTAGATTTCTTTTTCTTTTTTGTTTAAGGGATCATTTCACAAACTTGGATGTCATCCTTACCCAGGGGCCATACTTATCTTCTCTAGATCATTCCAATTTTAGTATATGTGTTGCCAAAGTGAGCACTCATTTAAAAGATTTTAAAAGAAAGACATGCCCACAAGAAAAAGGAAATATCATTATTTGATACTGCTTGTTGGAAAAAGTATCTTAAAAGCAGCTATTTCTAAGGCTGGGGATGTAGCTCAATGGTAGAGCACTCCAGGCCTTGGATTTCATCCCTAGCACCATCACCAAAAAAAAAAGTACTTCTATTTCATTTAAAGCTATACCCTAAACAGACATAATTCTGGTTTGTGATTTCTCAGAAATTCCTGTCAATTCCAAATATTCTGAGCAATAAATATGTTTATTTTGTGATAAAATATACATGTTGGTGTGTGTGTGTGCATATAAATACATCACAATGTTAATTTTTTTAATGATATACTGTGATAGTTTGGCTTTGAACTAATTGAGATTGATTAGTGGTGGGTTGAATTGATACCATTTAGTTTTTAAAGCAAAGGATTAAACCTTACTTATTTATTTAAGTGCTAGGGATTGAACTCACTGAACTACCACCCAGCCCCATCATTCTTATTCTTACAGGGACTCTACCAAGATGCAAATAACCCAAAAGTAAATGCTTAATAGTTTAGTCTTCTGAATTGTGACTTCATCAATTCTGTAAAGTTTTCAAAAACTGAGTCTATAAATTTTCACTGTGAATAGATAATATGCTTTTAAGTCATCTTCCATCACAATTCCCTTTTTCTGACAAATTCTGCTTGTTACTCTGTTTCCTATAACCTATAAAGCAAAACAAACAAAAAGGATTTAACTTGGGAAAAATATCAGAAGATCAAGTGACATAACAAGTATAACATAAAAGACATTTGTGTTCTGTTTATTCACAGTTCTTAGTTATCATTAGTGTGGGATAACAATGGCAAAAGAAAATATTTGTTTTTCCCTTTCCCCTTTTGTTTTCAGGACGAGTGCACTTTATAGAGAACACATAAAAAGCAAACTAGAAACAACAATCAAAATAGACATACGTAATATATATGTAGTTGAGTATAGGGAGGCAGTTTTCAAATGCTGGACAAGTGATTAGAGAAGTTCAAAAAGGGAAGAAATTTCAGAAAGCAGGTAAGATTTTAAGTAGGCTCAAGTGGTAGTGAGCCTGCCTTGCAAGCTGGAGGCTGATTTCGAACCACACACCCACGAAGAGAAAAAAAAAAAAAAAAAACAGGGAACAGCAGCTAGGCATGGCGGTACACTGCTATAATCCCAGCACTAAGGAAACTGGAGCAGGAAAATCAAGTTTGAGTTCAAGGCTATAGGGAAAACCTTGTCTCAAAAAAAAGGGTGTGGGGGGATGGGGAGTATATTTCACAGTGAACTGAATGAGACTCCTATTGCTCTAGATATTATTGCCGTATTAAATTTAGATCCATTTATATAAAGTAGTTTGTAATTTATTTACAGGTTTATTTAGAATTACTACCTTTTAAAACCAGCCATAGGGGAAGCTTCCAAATTCTCTATAAATTGTTTTTGGTGTTGTTTTTACCAGACATAATTTTGAATAGCTATAACCTAGAAAAATATTGACTGATTGTCATTAGAAACCTCAATGAATGACCTGGAACTTAAAAATGTCAAGGAAAGGAGCTTTAATTTCAACTCTGGAATAAATTCTCAAACTGCTAATACACTCCCACAAAGCCATTTAATCTTGTAGTGTCTTCGATTGTGTGGATAACGGAAAATATCGTAGCTAGAAATAAAGCATTGCTGTCAGACTGAAAACTACATTCTTCAAGTATCTTTCTCTCCAACATAATCTTAAGTAATAAGTCTCATTCCCAAAAGGGAAAAACTAGAGAAAAATAATCAAACGCAGGCTCGACTAACGGACATTTCC